ACACTCTCTCTCTCCCACCCTCCCACTCTCTCACACACACACACACACACACACACACACACACACACTCGCTCTCTTTCACACACACACACACACACACAAAGTGGTCAGATTTTTCTCTGTCTCTATAATGGGCGTCTCTGTGCTGATTTCTATTCTTAGAGCTCTTTGAACAGAAAACAATGTGTTTGAAAGGGCCGAGGGGCATCTGTCCCCAGAGACACTATGTGTGTGTGTGTGTGTGTGTGTGTGTGTAAAACATTCTTTCCATTACATGACGGAAAGTGAGCGAGTAACACATCCTGTTTGTGCCCGTCCTGAAAGACCAACACACACACACACTCATGCACACAGACAGATTTGAGATCTGTGTGTGTTTATGGGTGAATCTCACAACAAATATCAAGACAAAAATGATGGCAGTTTACAGCTAGAGACTGAGACTCAATAAATGCATCTCATCTCGCTTTCAGGTTTAAACTAAAAGCATCAGTTTATACTAGGCCTGACCTTGACCCCTGACCTGACCTCTGGAGGGGGTTACCCCTACATCAGCCTCGTACAGTAGCAACGACTTCACATGCATTTACATTTCAGAAGATGTCAAACACACACACACACACACATCTCACACGCGGCTGACATCATTAACACACACACGCCACAGTGACGAACAGAGAGTTGTTCACTTTCACAAGGAAATGCAAAGTGGTCTAGGAGACATGTGCTATATGGTTTCTGTTCGTATGGAAATTCAGGAATGGCTGTTAACAGAGAAAGTCAGTGAGATACATGAAACAGGTGCCCTATAATTTTGATGATTCAACATAGCTGGTACCAAGACAATTTCATAGCACACAGTCGGTCTGACCTGGAACAGAGTGACATTCGGCTCGTCTAGAATGGTTTTGGGAGGCGCAACAACTAGAAAACAAAAAAACACTCTGATAAAACACACATCAGTGAGTGTGTGTGTGTGTGCGTGTTATTTACTCTCCTCTGTGTGTGTGTTATTTACTCTCCTCTGTGTGTGTGTTATTTACTCTCCTCTGTGTGTGTTATTTATTCTCCTCTGTGTGTGTGTGTTTGTGTGTGCGTGTTATTTACTCTCCTCTGTGTGTGCGTGCGTGTGTGTGTGTGTGTGTGGATGTGCGTGGGTGTGTGTGCGTGTGCAGGTGGGTGTGGGTGATTTATAACATTGAAAAATGTTTTTATTCCACAGTGCATGATTATTTATGCATGTAAGACATAGAAGTTTTTGAATTTCCAAACGTTAAAAACACACACATGCTGCACTCGTTAAAAACTCATTAACCACCTCAGGCCGTCACTGAAGAGACAGACAGAGAGAGACAGTCTGTCTGCGTCTGCTGCGGGTTTTAATTAGATACGTCAGAACAGTAATTTAGTCTCGATAACTGATGCTCAGAAATGAAACTGTCCGAGGAGTCAGAGGGCAAAGGTCATGACATAGGATATTTACATGCTTCCCAGAAGACAAAATATAAACAATTTACACTGATCATTCTGATCAAAACTTTATTCTGGACAGTGTTATTTTAGCATCACTGTTGCCTTTCTATCATCTCTAACCAGCCTGCCCATTCTCCTCTGACCTCTGACATCAACAAGGCATTTTCGTCCACACAACTGCCGCTCACTGGATATTTTCTCTTTTTCTGACCATTCTCTGTAAACCCTAGAGATGGTTGTGCGTGAAAATCCCAGTAGATCAGCAGTTTTTGAAATACTCAGACCAGCCCGTCTGGCACCAACAACCATTCCACGTTCAAAGTCACTTAAATCCCCTTTCTTCCCCATTCTGATGCTCGGTTTGAACTCAAGCAAGTCGTCTTCACCACGTCTAGATGCCTAAATGCATTGAGTTGCTGCCATGTGATTGGCTGATTAGCAATTTGTGTTACCAAGCAATTGAACAGGTGTACCTAATAAAGTGGCCGGTGAGTGTATATAAACACACACACACACATATATATATATAGCTGCTCGCATAAAATTCAAGGCATTGATGTTTGCCTACAAAACTTCCACTGGCTCTGCACCCCTTTACCTAAATTCATTACTTCAGACTTATGTGCCTCTAAAAGCTTGCGTTCTGCAAGTGAGCTTTTCTAAAAACACTAGCTTTTCTAATCTTTTTGTATTCCATCTATTTGTTTTCTTTTTATATATTATACAATCAGGGCTTGAAATTAACACACGCCAACCTGCCAAATGCGGGTAAAAATCAGCTGTGGCGGGTATATATATATATATATATATATATATATATATACGGCTTGTATACACAAGAATGTGTTCAAAAACATCTAGACAAAATGGAACTGAATGGAATTATATATATATATATATATACACTGTATAAGGCAAGGCAAGATTTTATATTTAAGCTTTATATTGAATATTATACTTTATTTTATTTCAGCTTTACTTAAGTTGATAAATAATTTTAAATAGTTTTTATTAACAATAACAGCACTGTGACAGCAAGTGAACTGTGATTGGTCACTTCACATGTCAATCAAACGTGTGTTGTACGTTCTCACCTCTCGCTCTTCAGCTGCGCAAATCTCTTCCGAATGTCGTCAACGGTGACTTCGAAAAACTCGTCAGGAAGTTCTGCGTCGTCATGGCGATGGTCTCCGGAGTCCAGATGGAAGACCAGCGGCTCCCTGTCGACCGGCTGCACAAACACACACGATTCACTGATTCATCACGAGTCACCGATTCATCACGAGTCACCGATTCATCACGAGTCACCGAGTCATCACGAGTCACCGAGTCATCACGGGTCTCCGAGTCATCACGGGTCACCGAGTCATCACGGGTCACCGATTCATCACGGGTCACCGATTCATCACGAGTCACCGATTCATCACGAGTCACCGAGTCATCACGATTCTCCGAGTCATCACGAGTCACCGATTCATCACGATTCACCGATTCATCAGGAGTCACCGATTCATCGCGAGTCACCGATTCATCGCGAGTCACCGATTCATCACGATTCTCCGAGTCATCACGAGTCACCGATTCATCAGGAGTCACCGATTCATCACGATTCACCGATTCATCACGACTCACCGATTCATCAGGAGTCACCGATTCATCACGAGTCACCGATTCATCACGAGTCACCGATTCATCACGAGTCACCGATTCATCATGACTCACCGATTCATCATGACTCACCGATTCATCACGACTCACTGATTCATCACGACTCACCGATTCATCAGGAGTCACCGATTCATCACGATTCTCTGATTCATCACGAGTCACTGATTCATCAGATGAATCAATATAACAGAACACGCAAGGAAAACAAAAGCATTAAGCGCAAGGTTTTATTTCTAATTTTTAAGTATTTTAGCTTTAACCCTAAGCATTAAAATAGCCCCCCCTACTGATTAACATATGATTTGCATACAGGTTGACAAGCACCAATGCAAATTGTGAAAACAGAAAATAAAAAATGAAAATTAAGTTAAATTGTCACTATTATTACACATTATTAACTCGCTTTGTAAACAATGTATCTATAATTTATTTTTCACTTTATTATATTGAAAGTCTTGCATTAAGACTGTAGAACCAATTCGACAGGGACGATGCACTGCCATCATGAAAATTAAATTAAAATAAATTTAATATGATTTAAATTTTTGGCACATATTTTCAGGCTTTACTTTTTAATCATTTAAATAATTTATTTAAAATGAGCAGAAAACTATTATTAAATAAACTAACTGCACCTGAAACTCACAGCATTGTATATTTAATTTGTATCTTTTTTATTTGTCCGAATGTTTATCTGCATTTTTGTGCAACAACAAAGATAAAAAAGCAAAAATATATTGTTTGCAATATAAAGATGCATTATACTGTAAAGTATAAGTATAATGCAAAAATAAAGTTTTGGTCATATTGCCCAGCCTTAATATGAATTAATACATAAATAACTAACAAAAAAACAAAAAACTGCAAGGATCGGACGCATTGATGAAATATCATAAGAAAGAGAATGGCTATATACAGTGGGTACGGAAAGTATTCAGACCCCCTTAAATTTTTCACTCTTTGTTATATTGCAGCCATTTGCTAAAATCATTTAAGTTAATTTTTTTTCCTCATTAATGTACACACAGCACCCCCTCTTCATCCCTCGTCACTTGTTTGGCACTGACTGATCGCTGAAACATGCAAGAAACATCCACAAACACTTCAGTCTGAGAGACAGCGAACACCAGACGACTACAAAATGCACCAGCTACGAAGAAACAAGCGTGTGTTGGCGTTTGTGTGATCGAATCTAAACACGGTGATGCATGCTTGAACTCAGACACAACAAAAACACAGCGTCCATTTCTCAGAGAAATCAACAACAGAGCAGATGAACACAAAACACGTGAGAAGATTTTCCATGAAAAAGACGTTTAAAAGTTTGGAATGATTAGGATTTTGTCTTCTGCTCGAGAAGGATGAATTTATTTGATCAAAAATAAAAACATTACAAATTATGAAATATTATTATAATGTAAAACAGCTGTGTTCTATGTGAATCTCTGTTAAACTGTAATGTATTTCTGTGATGCGCAGCTGTATTTTCAGCATCATTCCTCCAGTCTTCAGTGTCACATGATCTTCAGAAATCACTATAATATGCTGATTATTAGAAACATTTCTGATTATTAGCAATGTTTTAAAAAATATATATTTTTGTGGGAATCGTGATAGGCTACCATTCAAAAGTTTGGAGTGAATAGGATAAAAAAAAAAACGTATTCATCAAGAATGCATTTGTTTGATGATTAGATTAATTTATATAATTCAGCACTAATTGAAAATAATTTAACTTAAGTCATTTTATCTCTAATTCTGTTTAGATATTGCTTCAGTTTTTTTCCTCCTGCTTTTATTTTAGTTCAAATATTTTTCTTAACATTAAAAATTACTAAAAAAATAAACAAATTAAAAACGAAAACAAATATAAAAGCTAATACAGAATAATAAATAAAATATATAATAGTATATAAATATACTATTATGCAAATATATGTACTATGTATAGAAAATGAGGAGTTACGTCACGATCTTCTGCATTTCGGGAAAGCGCCGCCATATTAATGAGATGCGCTATCCGTTTCCATGGTTACTTCTCATTCTCTATAAAGATAACTGCTTAGCTTTTGTTTTTGCCTTTAAGTTAAACAATCATTCTTTCTTCATTGTATCGCTTGCAGGGAGGAGAAGCTATTTTATCGCACTGCATGATCATTTGATTTTTTCCTCAATTCTCGATGCAGCATGAATGACGTACACTGGTCACATTTTTCACAATCACGACAAACAATCAAATACTGCCCTAAACTCAATAGCGGATAGGCAGCGCTATCCTGCGAGTATGGCGGATAAACAAAGCAGTTTCCCAGAAATCAATGCGGAGTTACGTCACATTCTCATTCTTTATACACTAATGTTCGAAAAGATTTCTATTTCTAATAAATGCTGTTCTTCTGAACTTTCTGTTCATCTGTGAATCCTGAAAAATTAAATGCATCACAGTTTCCACAAAAATATTGTGCAGCACGACTGTGTTCAACATTGATAATAATCAGAAATGTTTCTTGAGCAGCAGATCAGCATATTATACTGATTTCTAAAGATCATGTGACACTGAAGACTGGAGTAATGATGCTGAAAATACAGCTGCGCATCACAATTACAGTTTAACAGATATTCACATAGAACACAGATATTTAAAATTTTAATAATATTTCACAATTCTACAGTATTTTTAATCAAATAAATGCAGCCCTGGTGTGAAGAAGAGACTTCTTTCAGAAACATCACTTTTGTCTGCCTGTGCGTTTTAAAACGTAATTTATTCCCGTGATGAAAAAGACAAAAAGAAAACAAAATGTGTGACGGCAAACGAAGAAACGGGAAGTAAACAGACCTTGATTTCATGGCTGGGTTTGGGTTTCTTGGCTTTCGGTGGGCTGCCGGACACACATGATGACAATGACGTGGACATCTTCAGTCCAGCAGTTCCTCCCAGACGCTGTCCGCTTCCCGAAAATGGAACAAAGTCAGTGGGCGTGGCTGAGGGGGCGGAGCCATGGCACTGTTGGGACGTCCCAGGTCGCTCGTCATCCTCCTGTGGCATTAGTTTGGCCTGCGGAGGCTGGTCAGTTTTGGGCCACACCCCCTGCTCTCGGCTCGAGCTTGGCTCCTCCTCTTCCTGTTTGACAGGATGATGGTTCGGCGGGGCGGCGACCTCAGTGGGAGGAGCTGGGGTTTCCATGGGAACGGGGGCGTGCTCCTCGGGTGGTTCTGGAGGCGGTTGTGATACGGTTGTCTTGGCAACATCATCCGTTGGCATAGCGACCGCATCCACGGATGCAGCAGGACACGAAGAGCCAGAGCCTTTCAGCACATAACTAACGAACAGAAACGCCATCGTTATCATCATCATAATCACGTGATGTTACCGCTGAGACGAACAGCTCACCGTATGATGGCACTTCCTCCGGTGAGACCCAGAGACTTCAGAGTCGTCTTCTTCAGTGCATCCTTACCGCTGACCTACACAACAACAGCAAGACATGATGAAACTGCAATTTAAAGGGCATCTATTATGCAAAATTCACTTTTACATGTAGTTTGAACATAAATGTGTGTTGGCAGGGTGTACACAACCACCCTATAATGATAAAAATCCAGCCATCCTTTTTTTTTAAAATCCCCATAAATCATAAATAGTGTCTCAGAAGAAGCCATTCCCAGAATCTGTACAATGTGATGTCACATTTCACAAGCCACGCCCACGATTGTTGACGGACACAGCCGTATTAGCAGAGACCCAGCCCTGAGTGAGCCGCACACAATCCTCCATGTTTATCTTCACGCTAGAGCATTTAGAAGCAGCATTCAAGTAAGAAAGTCTTGTTAAAGCTACAGATGTTATTCAGTCCAGAGCAGTGAGTGATTTTGTGTTTTATTTTATTGTTTGGCTCACATTAACAGCGTAGACAGCTGTTTACCTTCACAGACATAACCGACTGTGTTTTTGTAACTTATGCGTGATTTTAACAAACTTGTGTGTATTTGACCGTTAAAGCGCAATAAGATGTGAAAGAGAACTTAGTTTAGTACTCAAATGCCGTATATTTATTTACTAACGGCTTGTTTTCTTAAAAAAAAACTAACACTAGCTTGCTCTATTCTTTTTGTATTCTATCTATTTGTTTTCTTTTTATTTATTATACAATTAACAAAAAAGACCTCTAACACTAGCTTGCTCTATTCTTTTTCTATTCTATCTGTTTTCTTTTTATTCATTAAAAAGCCCTTGCTATGTGTACTGCGTTAAGCTAAGCTAAACTTGTTATAGCACTTGCTTATCATTGCTCTCTTGTTGGTTTTGATTGCTTCTGTTGTCGCTTTGGATAAAAGCATCTGCTAAATGACTAAATG